CAATCATATTCAAAAGCAGCGAATAGGATGAAAGTAAACCCATATGTACGTAATAGATTCTTTCTTTTGATTCTGCTCAGCAGAAGAGTATTCGTACTATTGAAAGGATATGCATGTGCGTGAGTCATGCAGACCATTATTTTTTAGAGAAAACATTCTCACTGTTACTTGTTTTTCATTCTGGAAACTGTTTGCCTGATTTACAAAAAACATAATATAAATTTCACTAGTTCGGACTTCCATTGTCTACTATATAAAATGATTTGCACCACAGTAAGCCCCCTCACTTGTATGGACTGCCCAAAATCCACAAGAAGGACGTTCCACTTAGACCGATCATCAGCTCCAGAGATTCGGCTACTCAAAACTTGTCTAGATTTGTACTTCCCTTAATACAACCATTACAAGGAAAAACATCGTCTTTTGTGAAGAATTACAGGCCTTTTGTCGAATTACTAGGGTCAATTGAGGTCACGCAGGAAGATCAACTAATTAGTTTCGACGTGGAAACCCTTTACACCAACGTTCCGGTCGAAGAAGCACTCCAAATCATACAGAGAAAGCTATCCGAAGACGGGAACCTGAAAGATAGAATGAATCTACCTATAGAAGTGATTATGGAATTACTAGGATTCTGTGTACGAAACTGTTATTTCCAACTAGAGGACGAATTCTTTACACAAGATGAGGAACTGCCAATGGGATCGCCACTTTCACCAGTCATAGCCAACATATATATGGAGTGGTTTGAAACTCTGGCCATTGAAGAAGCCCACAAGAAACCTCGGGTCTGGTTGAGATATGTTGACGACACCTTCATAATATGGAACCATAGAAACACTGAACTAGACGCCAACAGCGTGAGATCTTTCATCACTTTCACAATGGAGAAGGAAATTCACAACGAATTGCCATTCTTAGACGTTTTGGTGAAGAGGACCGGACACTAAGTGGGAAACATCTGTATACCAAAAACCCACTCATACGGGACAGTATCTGAACCACGAATCCAACCACCATCAATCAACTAAAAGAGGAATTATCAAGACTTTATTAGACCGTGCTTTCGGGATCTGTAACACGAAGGAAGGTCTCGAGAAGGAACTAGACATCATCAAAATTGATCTTCAACCGAATGGCTACTCCAAAGCGATGGTAGAAAAGACCTTGGCTAAAAGACAGCAGGAGCCTCGCAAGAAAGAGAAGCCGACACAACCAGTGCTTGCACTTCCCTACATAAGAGGTTTATCGGAGAGGATAAGAAGAATTGATTCCAAGTACAACATCAGAACCTACTTCAGATCCGGTAACACTATCCGTAGCAGCTTCACGAAAACCAAGCCACCAAACGCGGACTGCGATTCCAAGAATTGCATTTACCGGATACCCTGTGAGTGCGGAAAATCCTATATTGGTGAAACTAAGAGGCCATTGAATGTTCGCATTGCCGAGCACAAGAAACACACACAGCGAGGACAAATCAGGAATAGCAGACCGTGCTTGGACCCATCAACACAACTTCGAGTGGTCCCAAGCTGAGATCTTGCACAGAGAGGAACATTGGTTACATGTTGTCCAACAACGTATTCAGCCAGGCCAGCGTAGAAATACTCAACATTTGGAAACCCATCATCAAGCAAAAAATGGCCAACTCCCGCCAAACGGTCATCTCCCACGGAACCAGTGAAGCGGAAAATGGAAAGCGGGGATGAGTGAAAGTACTCGAACAACCTATAAAGTCATCTCTTGGAGGAATCAGTCCAGTCAGCACCCGAAGACGATTGTAGATACTAACAATCGAAACGTCGTGTACTAACGTGACTTGGAATCTCTCAACTTTTTATTTTTATTTTCTTATTTCATTTTTTTATTTTTATTTAATTTTTGTTCAATTGTTCTTACTTTACTTGTATTTTATTTCACTATTATTTCATTTCAGGTTTATTCTGGTTAATATAATTGTTATTTTCAGCTATTCATTTTTAATTCTTCTTTTTTAGTTGTTTCAGGGATTTCAAATAATTTTATATAGTAAACAATGGAAGTCCGAACTAGTGAAATTCATCATGAAACATTGTCAATCACCTTCAAACACACATAATATGGTTGGAACTCTGCAACATATAAACTACATAACCTGGCAAGTAATAGAAAATAAAATACATCTCCCTGTTACAAAAAAGTCAGACAAATTATTCTCTAATTCACGAAAGTGAAAGGCTGTATAATCACATACCTTACGAAATTAGGAGGGAAAAAAGCTATAAAAAGTTCATAAATCTTATTAAAGATACTCTTGTAAGAAAGCTTACTACAATCTTGATGAATATTACAATGAAACTTTGCTGTGATGTAACATATATTTTTTTGTCATTGTTTATATTGACACCTTTACTTCTAATCATATTTTATACTGTGATATATCTTATTTCATTGCCATGACATGTGAATATATTTTCAAATTGTGTGTATTTGTTTTTTACAAACTATACAAACTATTCTTTCGACAAACGTGGTTGAATTTTATTTTTTATTGTTATATTGTGTTCCTGGATATTTGTGTTTTTGAATTGATTCTTTTCTTTCATTTTTTGAACAGCTATACATACCAGATTTTTTTAACAAGCTTTGTCAATAAGATTGTATTTTCTTGGACAATAAAGTATATCTATATCTATCTATAGATTAACTCACAAATTCTCAATGTTCATTTCGAAGAGGCAAGAAAATATTCATAAAACTGAAAAATGACTGATACAGGCACCTTTTTTATTCTCGTGTTATCCAAAATTCTGAGGATTATTTTTAAAAAATCTGAATTTTAGTATACAAATCATTTTTGCACTCGTCTGTTGCAAAAATTACCTTCGTTATAGTTGAAAAACATTCAAATCGATTATTAAGCGTAACATTCTCGATGCACAAATTTTTTGATTTTCTGAAAACTACCGATGAAGAAGTTTGTCTATTAAAAAAATTAGATATGAACGTAAAAGGTAATAACTTTCAGTTTGACTCTCAAACCGTTCATAGATTTTAACCTTAGTCCTATGGTATTATACAGGATGTTTCCGAATGAGATGCAGATCATCGATTTGTTTCCATCTATATGATAATGATTAAGGAACTTTAACAAATGAATTTTTTATTTTAGACGCGTTTTTTCAAGACCGTAGCTTCATGGGTAGGAGAACTACTGATGAAGCTGGAATAAAAGCGACTAGAATGGAAATTCTATTCCTGAGAACTGCCTACTTATTATCACGGAAAATGTTAGAGAAAAGATGTGAACACTGAATCCTCTCAAAATATTAGAAAGATAGTATCCCCTCCACACCTAATTTTAATTCTTCCAGAATAATGATGTCGTAGAAAAAACACCCCATCTACGTAAAGTGATCAATTGTTTTCTGTGTCCCCGGGATTTTGGAGGACTGGGAATTCAATGTTCAATACATCATTTCTCTATCAACTATTTCCACTCGGTCGCATTCGGAGAGAAGTGACGGTTTAAGAAGGAAAAATAGTCATCTGATGTGAAGAAGCTGTTATTTTCTATGATCCCAATATTTTGAAGCACTGAAATCCAACATTGAGGCACATATTATAAGATAAATAGACAAGTACTATTCTGATCATTCCCATATTGATTTCAATTTCAGAGTCACCAGTTGACAGATCTTTCAGCCTATTGGGCATCGTCAGTACCGGGTAGGCGGTCCTCGATTGAAGACAAAATGTGAGTAATGTAAGTAAGAAAAGTACTTCATAAAAATAACGCATATAAACAAACTGTTATACCCACCTTGCAAAACACCACCAAACGTATATTTCGGCCTACTCTATTTTCTCTACCTCAACACAACTCACTGGTAATAAAATCAAACAACTATCTGGTAATACCATGTGTTTGCCAAATATTGTAACTATTGAAATTTGAAATAGCTATGTGTATGTTTTGTTCACTCTGAAACAGAGTCTACAGTACTACCACAACAGAAAGCTTCATGCAGTGGTACCACCACATCCAGGAGGTGATTTCGGTTACTCTTTTCAGTCTATAATCGTTCGAATTTCAGAAACAGAGTAAAATGGCAAATTACAGGGGTAAACTTTTGAAGTGGACATGCGAATTTGCAACTATTTTGGTGTATTTTTAGCTTTTTCACGCTTGCAATACATTTGTTATGGTTGTTTGTAAAATAATGATTGATTATAATATCATTGAAAATAATGAATATACTGGCAGAAGGAAACATTTGGAACAGTAACTCTTTTTCGTTTCGGGTTTTTAGACCATAGTCTGTTGGAATTTTTTATGACGTTTCGCTGGCATTGAAGGTTGATATTCTCAGAGGTCTATGTTGTCGCTAAGGTTTCTGGTACTTCTGACGTCGGGAATAATTTTAAACAGACAACGGCTCAAAAAGCCGAAACATTCCAATAAAAGTAGTTTCATCATCACCTATGAATTCTAAAAAAACATGTGTTTTCATCGATGAATCTCACCATCAAATCATGACAGATGAATCATGTGGGGATTAAAGTCTATCAGAATCCAAGATAGAGTAAAACAAAACCGAAGCGTGATGTTCACGTGATCGCTCAGTGTCAGATAGAAAGGGCAGCGTTCATTGGTGAATTCGCCTTCTTGGTACGAGTTCGGTACCAGCACATGGTTGTAATCAGTCTTTTTCGTGTTTGTGTGGCGTGCGTTATAGTATATTGTTTAAAATTGTTTTCCAAGATGTCCAGTACAGACACTGCTGATGACACTGTGAGCTATCCTCTGAGTCCAGNTGAGTATGGATGATGAAGAGGAAGAAATGATTGTAGATATGGATCAACGTCGTGGTATACATCGTCACCTGTCTTATTATGGAAAAACTGGTTTTCAATGGAATAAGTGCTGCTTTCCAAAGAATGTTCGAACTAGGCAACATAATCTGATAAAAAAGCTGCCAGGTGTTATTGGCGTTGCAAAAAACTCAAAAACTGCAATGGAAACTTGGAAGCTATTTTCTTCGGATAACATAGTACAGAAAATAGTTGAATATACCAATCAGTTCATTGAAAAAGTAGCTCATTCATATAAAGATAAATACGACGTACGTTACACAGATATAACGGAAATCAAAGCACTAATCGGCCTGTTATATTTAGCTGGTGTCCATAAAGGAGGTCGAACCACTATTTACGAATTATGGGCAACAGATGGTACTGGTCTGGAGATATTCCCAGCAGTTATGGCTGAAAAAAGATTCCGCTTTTTGATAAGATGGTTACACTTTGATGATGTCGATACACGTGAAGAGAGGAAAAAAACCGACAATCTTGCACCTATTAGGGATTTGTTTGAGGAAGTAAATGGAAAATTCAGAAATCATTACTCGCCAGGAGAATGCTATTAGCCTTCCGTGGCCGATGTGCCTTCCGAAAGTACATACCTAATAAACCTGCAAGATATGGAATAAAAATATATTCGCTTGTAGATGCTAGGATGTATTATATGTTCAACATGGAAGTGTATACAGGAACCCAACCAGCTGGACCATACCAAGTGAGCAATAAATCTCTTGATGTTGTCAGAATGACAGAGCCCACCCATGATAGCAAAGGAAACATCACGATGGATAATTGGTTAACCTCTATCCCCTTAGCACAATCACTAATGACTGATCTGGGAACTTTACGCAAGAATAAAGTGGAAATTCCACCAAAATTTCTAACAGTGCGAAGACCTGCTAAAACTAGTATGTTCGCTTTCAAAAAACTAATAAATAGAGTTTATTCAATGATTTTCACTATAAAGGCTATAAGCTTCTTTAAACTTCTTCTTCAAGCAAGCATAACTTGCTAGCTTGAAGAAGCTATTGTATAGCGAAACACGTGTCGCGGTTTTTGTAAAACCCTTATAGTGAAAATCATACAATAAACTTCATTTATTAGTTTTTTGAATATGGATTTTCATCAAGTATCGGCCAGTTCTATTCGATTATGTTTTCTTTCACTAAAGACATGACTTCAGTATCTTATAAACCGAAAAAAAAATAAATCAGTTGTATTACTGTCTACTATGCATCTAACGATGAAATCGACGAAAGTACTGGAGATGAAAATAAGCCAGAAATGATCACCCTGTATGATGCGACAAAAGTGGGGGTAGATTGTGTGGATCAAATGGTGGCATCATACGATGTACTAAGAAATACCAGGAGATGGTCAATGACAATATTTTATTCCTTGCTCAACGTCAGTGCAATAAATTCGTTCATCATATATAGGACCAACAATAAGGATATGGTTATTACAAAAACAGGAAGGAGAAAATACCTGAAACAACTAGGAATGAGTTTGGTTACGGAACAGCTAAAGAGAAGAGCTATTGACAAACATATATCGAGGGATGTAAGGCTGAAAGCTGCGAAGTTTAATGGACAGAGTTTGGTTGAGCAGGCAGATCCACTACAGGGAACATATCGAAGATGTGTCTTTTGCCGAAATCGCAAAACAAGATTTTTCTATCACATCTGCAAAAAAATGATTTGTATGGAACATTCCAAGCATACATGCCCAGACTGCGCTCAAAATTACCGTTCCGAATCCATGTACCACATAATTTTTCTTCACCTTGTATATTTTCATGAATTTTCTTTTATGTTACATTTTATATGTAAAACACGAAATATATCGGAATACTTGTTTTTGGTTGATAGTGAGAGTAACAATAAACATAATTTTGCATGAACAGTATCAATTCAATTTATTTAAAAAAGATAATGATAATAACAAATGTGTGTATCTCCGATCCAACCGTCCTTTCTTGGTATATTTTTTCACCCGTTTACTCAAGGGATAAGTTTGAAAATGTCTTTATAGGACGAAACTGCAGTAACGTTAGTTACAAATAAAAGTGGTAAAAACATAGAAAGTTCAATTTCTCTTTTCTTCATTATGATTTCCTACCACGTAGTAACGGCTACATCCATCAATTAATTGATTAATTAATCATCATCTTCATCATCACGAACGAGTCTCTGTGATCAGCTGTGATGGCGTCATGGCAACAGAATTCAGAGTGGGGACGGAGTGAGAGAGTAATAGATAGAGAAAAAGTGAATAGAGAATAGAGGAATAGCTGCACGCATTAAACTTTATCGACGAATTTTTGTTATTTCGGCTTGCGGAAATCGTCAGATTATACATTTTTCGTTATCCTTGAATTATTTCGTCCAAAATAAAAAAAAAAAATAGCTACGATCCAGAATGTCAAAATGACGTTATTTTTTCATAACGTTGCTGCCCTCCCCTTTCTTTACGTCACTCTCAAATTGTCAGATTACTGGAATATACACTTTTTAGCAGGTAATTAACTCACCCTACCTTAATCTGACGCGCTCGAAAATTTCTGATGATCAATTTTTTTTTACTAATCTGATCCTTTATCCCTTACAGGCGGCCTTATATATGGGGAGGTATATGGTGGAGGTACTTAACCAGGTACTAGGTATCCCCCTGTATATTAATCTGCTGCGCTTTAGTAAATCCCGAAATCCCCGCTTCGGCTCCCCTATTATTAATTATCGTTAGGAAACGAGCCGGATTTCGTTATCTAATTTACAGTAATTATCGTTAGTAATACCAGGTCACAAGGCAACATGGTAAACTCCCAAAGGTATTTTAAATTTCCAACAAAGTTTCTAAATGTATAACACCTCAAATTATTAGGTATCATATTTTTTGTATGTAATAGCCAATGCATTAAATGAGTGAAAAAATAAATATAGTTAGAAAAAAATAAAAAACACGCTTTGAAAGAACATCGAACTGAAAAGTTGAAAATATTTATATTGTTTAGAAAAATTACCATTGATATTTTCCGATTCCGGAGAGCGAGCCTGAAAATCAGAAACCCAGCCCAAGGCAGCTGGCGCACGTGTTAATGAAAAAAAATACTTTTTTCAAATGAAGGAATACATTTTTGGGAAAGAAAGTTTTTGGCTTTCTACTACGCCATCTTGATACAAAAAAAAGGATGAGGGAATCTTCCAAAGAAAGGAACTTGTTCTAAATTATTCAATTCTGAAAAATAGAACTGAAAGTTACAACATTGAGAAATAAGCAGGTTCCACTTTATTCAATTGCTGAATGGAAGAAAAATGCCATACACTTTTCAAAAATATAATAATAAAAACAACAATAAACATATAAATAAAACTACATATAATAAATAACATGCAATACAATTTTTTGTTTGTATCAAGATGGAGTAGTAGAAAGCCAAAAACTCTCTTTCCCTAAAATTAATCACTCCTAAAAATATATCCCATTCAATTCCAAGAAATACATGTAAAGTGAGTTTGAATTATATCAAGTAGTTTACGCACAGCGCCATCTGCCCGTGAATAGATCAAGCGATAACGTCGAGAATTCTGTCAAAAACAGATCCCGAGCTTGACAGTTACAAACAAATAAACATTCATTCATACATGTGAAGCTAATAGAAGTGTGTTAAAAAAGTACTGTAATAAGTAGTACATTTTCGTAATGCCATAGTTTGTTTGAAGGTAGATTTTCATCTTTTACGAAATTATTTAAAATTTTTACTGAATCTCCAAAAGTTTTTGTTCACATCTTTTCAGCTGATAAAAATTGACACTATTGAATATTTATAAATCATGTTGTAATTGTACAAAGCCTCCTCACAACAGTTTGTGAAATAACAGTGACGGGTTGACTTCCAATATACCTCAGTTTTTTTTGTGATTGCGATTTGTTCTAAATTATTCAATTCTGAAAAATAGAACTGAAAGTTACAACATTGAGAAAATAAGCAGGTTCCACTTTATTCAATTGCTGAATGGAAGAAAAATGCCATAAACTTTTCAAAACTATAATAATAAAAACAACAATAAACATATAAATAAAACTACATATAATAAATAACATTCCATTACACCTTTTTTTTCAAATATATGAATTATCCTAATCAGTTGAGTCATCAAATATATTATCACATATCCACATAGTTCAATTCTATTTGGAGTACCATAAATGTGTAATTCAATTAACTCAATTACTTCTGATCAACCATGATGCATTAAAGGTTGTTTTCGGTTATTCCTGATTGTCCCAGATCGCTGTCNGCTATCAAGAAGTTGTTCGCATTAGCCCAATTTGTTGTACTTAAATTAAAATCACCACAAAGAAGAAATATATCTCCTTCATTTAGGACAAGGGAATCGAGTTTTGATGAAAAATTTGCGAAAGAAAGCTGATCATCTCCAGGCAGATAAATACAACACACAAAAATTCTAAATGATTCAAAATGTAAGCACACCTACATATCTTCTGCCTCACTTAAGTATTCAGTGACAATGGACGTTTTAAACTTATTTTTCACTGCGATGAACACTCCACCGCCATCCAATTTCCTTGTGTCACGGTCTCGACGAAACACGATGTAATTATTTGTGCTGAATGAAAGAAAAATGCCATAAACTTTCCAAAACTATAATAATGAAAACAACAATAAACAATAAATAAAACTACATATGTTAAATAACATTCCATTACAATTTTTTTTTCAAATATATGAATTATCCTAATCAGTTGAGTCATCAAATATATTATCACATATCCACATAGTTCAATTCTATTTGGAGTACCATAACTGTGTAATTCATTTAACTCAATTACTTCTGATCAACCATGATGCATTAAAGGTTGTTTTCGGTTATTCCTGATTGTCCCAGATCGCTGTCAATGAAAACCTCATATAGTTGGGTTTTTCACAGTATGCTTGACGAGTGTGAAGTCAATCCAATAGGGACGTTTAAGAAAACATCGTTTTTGAGCCCATTCACAATGGGTTGATAATTCTAAATAATCTTCAACAACATACGTTTTCGTAATTTTCTCGAATTTTTCTATGACTAACCTGAAGTCTTCTAATCCATGGACTGGATACACCACGATTCCTGCTAATGTTTTGTAGTGTTCCCAGCTGTGATTAGTAATTAACTCGTATTCATTCTTCGGGTATTTACCGTTGACAACACAAAACGCATGAAAGGTGTCGAAGTAACGAGTATAATCCACTGCACATTTCTTTTGGTGCATTTCAGTCTTCGAACAAACTATAACTGCCTGACAAGTTTTCAGAGATATCTCAACGTGTTCTCTGCAGCTTGGTTCGGAGGTATTTATGATATTAACACTTGGGTTATGATCCCGAACATGGTCAATATTGTCAAATTCTCCGGAATTTTCATGCAGAATATGATACAGTCCCAACACCTTCTCCACGGGTAAAATATTCAAAATAGATTCGTACCTCTTCTCGCATTGTCCGGAAAAGAATATCAAGGAGCCTTCTATTTCTCTATATTTCTGGTATTGAGCCAGAATT